ATGGAACTCTTAAATAAAATTGCAAATAATAACAATTTACAAGTAAATTTTTGTGCAAATATATAGATGTTTTATTGTTTTTTTACTTGGGAGGATTCATCTTTCTTAGATGGATCCATTAGTTTACCCATACAAGCTTGCCATATGGATGGATCATTGATTGAGCCCTTCAATCAATTAATGGTTAGTTGTAGTCAATCAATTGATCAATAGGCCCATTGATCAATCACGACCCATCAATTGATTAATTATATAGTAATGGTAAATGTGGCAAGCAAAAGGAGTTATGATGGATCCATACCTAACCACAACTATTTACCATTGGCTATAGGTTATCCATTGTTACTCACAACCTATAGCCGATTATGGATTTCAGATTTTGTGCATATATGATGCTGATGTGTGCTTAAATTTCCTTTTTTTTTTAGAGTGTAATATACTTATTGAAAGTGATAGGCAGTGGTCTTATTTTTTTTTCTCTATTGTTTAGTTAAGAGTGCAACAAATAAAAAATGCATATTTTATTTGTTATTCTTTGCTAGTATGTAACATTCTTGTGTTTGCACTTTATGGAGTCATTTATGCAATAGACTATTTTTCTATGTTTACTAATGTGCAAAAATTGTATTAAATTTTAAGAATTGCTCCAAAGTGCTTGATAAAAACAATCCCTTCATGACATAGTTCAAAATGACATATTCATGACTCCTTTCATCTATGCTTTGCTATGGCCTCCATGCATGCCATAATATAGCAATGAGCAGGCTTAGTGCTAATAAAGACTACCAAACATACGTGTGGTGGGACATGTGCATGATCCACTAGCAAAAGTTACACTGCCCTTGTGTTTGATTGGGTTCCTAGTGTAGGCATGTAGGGGAACTATTATATTTCTTTGTTGCAAGATATAGTGGTGGAAGTGTTAGTTGATGCAAAGTTTGAAGGAAAGGTTAAGGATGATGGTACAGATTAGCATATCATCATGATATGGTGATGGAGTGTCATCTTTGCATTATTGGGTTATGGGTGGAATGTATTCAAGATTCTATTGACATCAATGAAGTTGGCCATACAATGTTCCGAAGAAAGCATTAGCAGTTTGTGGGGGGGGGGGGAATTAACATATGTGTAGGCAAGCTATTGCTATCTACCTATACAAACCCATGACATAGACGATAGAACTAGAAATCTTACAATACAAGTTAGAGTGGTTGGTGGGGGGGATGCTAAGCTCCCCATACCAGTTCTTCTAGTGACCCCACAACAAAACCTACACTTTAGTCATGGCTATTTACCTGTAAAGCCTTGCATAATTTCAATTTGCAATCCTCTAAGCCAAGAGGTAGTCATTCTATTTGATGACCATTAAGACCTGGTGGTTCTAGAGGTGCACGAACCGGGTTAGTTCTAAACTTGCACCAACTAGGGCAACCATAGAATTGCCCTAATTCCTAACCCATACTTTCAACGAAGTCCTTGTGGAGATGGATGTAGTTGCTAATGCAATATCAAATGTAAATATAGACATTGTAACCATAGAAGAGGCAGTTTCAATGGAGGATGAAGAGAGTGTGGTGGCATTGGATGAAAGGATAGGGCACAAATCAGGTATATGATAGACTTCCTTTGTCTATGTGAAAACAATAACATTGATTTTTTGCGGCTAATCAATAACACACAGATATACTTTGTAGGGTTACAACTTTGTGATGCCAAGCATGCATGTACGTAAACTTGATAGCACATGCTAGGGGCCTTAGTGGCTATTGAGATTGCACATAAATACATTATGCACGGTTATGCCACCATTACCTTCTGCTATGATTGGGGTAGATTAAAGCAACCTTTTTGGGGCTAGATGCCATAGTGGGGAAATGTGTATATCTTGTGTTATAGGTTTGGACACTACCCAACACAGACATTTGAGAGGGTATCCTTTTGTCCTTGGACGCAAAAGTTGAGGAATTTATAGAGTTACCAATTTGCATAACAATTGAGTAGCAAATCTCCCACAGGAGTTTGGCAATGGACTTTGATATTTTTCACAACTATCTAGTGTGGCACAAAAGTGGGTGAAGAAGATATTTCCATCGTGATAAAAAGTGCATTCAACGCCATAGGAATTGCTCAAAGTAATAGAGCATGAATAGAAAGCTTAATGAGCCCACTACCATAATGAGGCCATGTGGGCTTTTTAACCACTCCTGAATGCAATGCATAGCTCCAGATACCCCCAAACTCCTTAAGACTTGCCAAGTGAGCATGCAATACATAGTTTTTCAGATTTGCTAGGTGAGCATGTAATATATATTTTTTTTTTCAGATTTAGAGTGTTGCAAGTGTGTATAAATTTGTCTTAGTATACAGGCTTTGCATCTATGTTTAGAGGAACAAAATGGCTTTCCCCTCTTTACTTTGTGTATGGCTGGTTTGTTGGTAGTCAGATGGTGTTAGATGACAATATGCAAGACTTTGGAGGGTCAACAAAACAAGCTATGAAAGCTACTTAGGGCTAAGTACGACTTGTTTTGCATTCATACTTCAACAAGTATGAGGGAGGGTGAAGTTAGCACACATATGCTCTTGGGGCCAATTTTTGGTCAGCTCATACAGCCACTCAATCATCAATCCACACACGAAAGGCATCTGCACATATATAAAAATTTCATATAGGTGTATATGGTTGGGATCATGATGTTTCATATCCTAGTAGCAAAGATGCAATCAGATTGCTTATATAGTTGCTTTGCTCTATGTGGTTTGCAATGGTATAGATGCATTTCATTTTAGCACGCAATAGTGGGTGGTGTTTTAGGACCTTCACCTTTATATGCCATGCATATGGGAGCCACTCAACACTATATGAAGTGTGGTGGAAGGTGCCACAGATGACTAACAAATTTTGCTTAGTAACAGAAGGCAAAACAAAGGTCTATAAGAATATACAAAGATTTTGGGGTGGTGGAGTTTGGTACTATGTACTAAGAGACTCTTGAGTTTGCCATCAAGAGTATTGTGCATTGCATTTTCTTTGTCAAGACAACAGTAATGACTAGTGCTCTGCAAATAGGCTTTCAACACTACACAATATCCACCATATAGCACTAAACATTAACTTTAAGAAGATCATGGCCAATATATTTACCTCAGCTTACAACAAGTTATATTCACTTACTCAAACTTGTTGGATGTATATCTACCAAATTTATTACAAACATTTGGTGGCAAAGACAACATTATATATTTACACATATGCTTGGCAGAGATGGCAATCGAAAAGTGATTGTATGTAAAATATTTTTGCAAGCAACTCAAAACAAAAAAATTATCCACATATGTGTAAATATATAATGCTCCAACATGAAATCATATATTTATTGCTATAGCTACAACAATATGTATATTATATCCCATCTTGAATTGTATAAGTAAAAACTTGTATGTTTAATCTTTTGTTTTTATTTAGAATGTATTAAATTTCCCTTCTCTCATACGACTTCAATTAGGGGTGAATATTCATCTAATGTTTTTTATTGTCATAATATGTGTTATAAGGAAAGAGGATACATGTAAGAATGATATTGATAAAGATATATTTGAGATTAAAAAAATGACACCAAGACAAGCATAATCAGAACTCATTCTTGAGGATAACTAGGTAAGTTTTAAATATTGACCATAGTTGACTCATTAACTAAAGTGTGAGACCTTTACATGTTAGTATTTTTATTATATTGAAATAAAAAAACCTCTGCTAACAATCATTATTGTACAGGTATAATCCTTTCAATAATATCTTATTTTCTTTATAAAATTTAAAAATAATTTTCTGCATGTTGCATACAATAATGCTTAGTTTTTTTAATAGTAATATTATTCTTACTTATTAATCTAATTGATAAAATGGAAATTTAAAATTATAAATATATTTATAATTTGTAAAACAAGATTAATCTTATTTCATATCAACCATTAGATGTTATAATAAACTATAATATATTATATAGTGCTTATAATTTATAAACATGTTTATAAATTATAAATAAAGATTAATCTAAATGAATAAAACAGTTAGATGGTAAAATATTCTAGAATACCAAGTATATTTTAGGTATATTCACTACCACACCAGTGAGTAAACCATCTAAAATATACTTGTATTTTATTAAATACTCAATAAAAGATATCAAGGATTTAATTCATATTGATCACTTCAATAGCCAACTTCAATTCTTATTCACCAGCCAACTTTAACTCTTATTAATTTCTTTATCAGCTAACTAAAGACAAGCATTTCATGTTATAATTATCCCAAGATAACCTCCTTAAAATCAAGAATATAACCTTAATACATTAGTGAATATATTCTTGGCTATTAATTTTTTTATTTTTAATATATTTTGCAAAAATAAAATTAGAAGCATCATTATTTGACTTTTTCCTTTTAATGCCATAGTCAGATATAACTATATTAAATTTAAAACTAATAGCCAATTTGTGAGAGACTTAGCCATTCTTTAAAGCCTCTTGATCAATAAATATATCATCAACATTTCCTAATCATGTGTGAATTTATAGCTTCTCAATTTTTTTTCCTTCTCTTCTTCCAGATTATAATTGTACAAATTGCTTAAATTCTCTCAAACCTGCTATAAATTTAAATTCTCTCAAATCAATTGTATGCAAAAACTTTGGATTTTCTTCCTTCAATATGATTTTTTTGAGGTTTGATAATGGTTATAGACAATAATTCCACACAATACATACATGCATACGATATCAAATTCAAGATAAATTTAAGTTTGTAATTTGAAAAGAACTCTACACGGATTTTACTATCTATTTTTTAGGTTTGATAAAAGCCAGAAATAATAAAATGGTTTAAACCTTCAATTTTATGTTTATTAATTTATCAACTAATTGTACTTGTTTCTGATTTTTCTTTTTAATGAGAAATAAGGAGAATAAATCTTATTGTTTGATGCTTCCAGCATACAGACCTGATCACAGCTGTCTAGTGTAAATGGCATGGCAAGTAGAACTTCTTTAGCTCCACACAAATGAACACTTCTGCAAAGAAGATCAACCACACATCCATATTGTTCCCTCCTTACAGTAAGTCCATGGTCAACTATCATAGACAAAAAGACTGACCCTGCATTTACTATTCCACCTTGATGACTACAACCCAACAAAACTGATGTGAACGTCACATCATCAGCAAAGAATCCCTCCAAAAGCATCACAGCCAAGAGCTGCATACTCCAATTCATGCCCAATATGGTGTTGAAGGAAATAACATCCCAAGCAGGCATGGCATGGAAAAACGCTAAGGCCTTTACCGCATGCCCAGTTCTGGCAAATGCCAAGAGCATTGCATTCCAGGACACCATGTTTCGGTCTGGCATTTGGTGAAAGATCTTAACTGATTCCATAAACTGTAGATGGTGCGTGAATGCTGTTAACCTTGCATTCCAAGAGATTAGATCGTGATAAGGCGCACTATCAAACATCAATGTCGACAGTGACAAATGGCCGGCTTCGGCATACGCGGAAATTAGAGCATTCCAGGATACTTGATCCCTTCCCGGCATAGAATCAAAGCAAAGTTTAGCGGATTCCAAATCGCCGCGCTCGGCATAGGCAATGAGCATTGTGTTCCACGAAACAAGATCTCTCACTGGCATGGCGGCGAAAAAGGCTCTAGCCTCCACAAACTTTCCATGCTGAGCATTTGCAAGAAGCATAGCATTCCAGGCGATGATATCCCGCTGCGGCATCTGGTCGAATGCGTTTCTAGCAGCAGCGAGATCGCCATTTTGGGCGAAGGCGACAAGAAGCGCTGTCCTTGAAACGACGTCAAAATCCGGCATGGAATTAAATACTTCTCGCGCCTTTTCCAGATCTCCACTCTGGCCATACAGGCAGATCATGTTCGTCCAGGACATGATCACGCTCCGGCATTGAATCAAAAAGTTTTCTCGATTCCTCCACCATCTCGTGCTCCAAATCCCTGGCAAAATTGTAAACGAATCCACACAGCATCCCATTGAACGACACAAGATCTCGCTCAGGCATCACTTCAAACATTCCTCGCGCCTCTTCCAGACATCCGTGGATGGAGAATGCCGTGAACATCGCGTTCCAGCACACCATGTCCCTGTAGGGCATAGAATCAAATATGTAACTGGCGCCAAGCAGATGCCCAGCTTGAGAATATGCCAAGAGCATAGTCGTCCACGATGATAGATTCCTTGCAGGCATTGACTTAAAAAATCTTCTAGCGTCCATGAGATTCCCGTTTCGGGTGTGGGCCGAAAGCATTGCATTCCAGCAAATTTGATCAGCGCGAGGCATCTCGCTAAATATTTTAAGCGCTTTAGCAAGATGCCCCAATTGGGCATATGCCACAAGAATAGAGGTTTTGGCCACAATGTCTTTAAACGGCATGTATTTGTACATATCCTCGGCATCACCAAGGTAGCCACTCCGTGCGCATGACACCAACATGGCCGTCCATGATGCCGGGGACCTTTGTGGCATCTCATCAAAAACGTACTTTGCCTTTTGAATATGCCCGTTTTGGGCATATGCCGAGAGCAAAAGATCCCACGAGAAGGAATTCTTATCTTGGATTCCCTCAAAGACCAAGCAAGCATCGGAGATGCTGCCACATCTTCCGTACATTTGTATGAGGAGATTGGAGAGGAAGACCTGGGAGCCGGGAAAGTGTTTGAGACAAGGAAGAACTCGCGAGTGAGTGGACTTGGCCTGGGCGATTGTTGTGGAGGATTTGATGAGAAGAACGCACTTCTCTAGATCGAGGCAAGGCTCTCGTGCAGCTGCCGGATTCATGCTTGTTGCTGCTGGAGATACATGGTCTGCTGGCTGACCGGACAATTCACCAGCGGATCACTCATGCAATAGATTCTTTTTTTTGCAGCTCCTGAATCTGGGTGGGTGCTATGCAAGCATAACACTAACATTATACAGCAAGTACATACGAAGGCATCATGTAGTCCTTGAGAATGCCCATCTTAGCATTGCTGTTGATCATCTCATTGGCCTTGCGGAGGAGAGCCTTGCAATACAGCCCATGCATTAGCGTGATGGATTATGGAGGTGGTGTTGGAAAAGTCCTAGAAAAACTCCCAAAGCTTCTTTTTCAAAGATGGTAACCTCAAGAAAACAACAAAGACTTATCTCCATCATCGGGCGAAAGAGCTCCAAGATAATTAAGTTATGTTAGCAACTCAATTTCCTTTACCTGCACTGAATAATAAAACACCTGTGTAAAATTCTAAGCTTAAATTACAACCTTATTTTAAACAAAATATTTTAAATTTAGATAAAATAAAATTTAAAATTATTTACTTATTGGTCCTTTTCAGTCTAAATAAACATAATTTAAAAAATAAAAATATCTTTTATTTTATTTAATATTTAAGATATTAAGGTTTAGATTTTATTAGATTCATCTAAGCAAAAAAACGCAATTAGAGGTGCAAACTTTTGACATTACAATCAATCAACTATTGTTTGGAGAGGCATAGCATACCCTGAGAGGGATGATGAATCAAAAAAGAACTAACCACTATATAGTTGTGAAGGTACATAGAGGGAAATGTCAACTTTTATTAGTCCTATATTAAAACAAAGTAAATCTACTACCATATAGAGTCGAATTCTTAAAATCTAATTATTATTTCAAATTGTTTTATAAAATTTGATAGAAAAATATTTAGATTCTGTAATTAATTTTATTAATAAAAACTTAGAGTATTCTTAAATATACTTGCACATTATAGTCTAAATTTTAATCTAATAGTAATCTTATATTTTAAAGTTATACAATTATATTGGATTGTTATTAGCTAATAATTTTGACATAGAATCCTTAATATAATGAATCAATGACATATACATCTTAAAACATTTTTACCTCTTTGGGCTCTTCTTTATTATCAAGGTTACAATCTGAAGAGTAGCATTTGTTGTCAAACTTATAACATTTTATGATCAAAATAAATAATTTTCAATTACACTACTTACATGAGAAGTAAGTTCCACACTTATAGCTTATTAAATTAGTTCTTTTCGGTACTTTATAGCCCATCTTATGATCTAGCAAAATCTCTAAATGTACAAACATTAGGCTCAAAAGGAAAATACTACTTAATTGTATGTGCAATTGACATAACACAACTTATAGATATCCTTAGATAGTAGGGATAGAAGGTATAAAATATATAGTAGGGATAAAAGGTTGTTTATTTTTGTTTTTCATTTGACTTGGGTGTAAGCCCAAACTCTATACCACACTAGCTAGTGGATTACCCATATCCTCGCATTAGACCATTGATATATTGAAATAACCCTAGATTTTATTTAGCTCCGTTTACATACAGGTATTCACATTAGGATGTTATATGCTCTAGAACTATTTCAATATCACTCTATACTCTTTTTCTGTTACTCTTTAGTTATATGTTTATGAGTTGTTATGTGCTTTTATTCCTTTGCTTTTTGGCACCAATTTACTGAAGTGTTGTAGGCTAAAAAGATCCCCAAAATCAAGACCAAAATAATAAAGAGTTCATTTGATGAGATTGAGTTTGAGATCCGAGATCGAATTCAAGATTGAGTCCAAAACCAAGTCCAGGGGCTAAGTTTAAATATTAATACAGATCATAGGGTGAAAGCTCAAAGCAATCATCTCTTAAACATGTAAAGGGTTCCAAAAGTATAATAGGGATAGTGAGGTTAGGATGCAATCTTGAAGGAATTCTCCAGCAGTGCTTCCAAATCAAGTTAGGGTTGGGATTAGGGGTTAATAAGCATAGATTTAAGGAATGCTAAAGAGGCTTCTTAAGAAAGTGCTCAAAAGTAGTTCCCACTCCTGAAAAGCAAACTAATTGTAGTGCTCCTAACACTGGTAGAGTGGTGTCCCACTTGAGTATCATGAGGTTCATTAGTCTTTGCTT